ACCACAAGAAAGTCAAATATGGTCAACCTCCTTTTAAACTTTCTACGTAGTTATTGAACATCCTCTTCCTCTATCTGCGTGGTGGTGTTTTTTGTTTAATGACCCTTCCCTTTAGTACGACACTGGAGGGAAGGGTGAATTAGATGTTAATTCATTTTGGAAGGTGATGCGATCTTTTAAAGAATCGCAAGGTCATTAAAGTTAAGAGGTGTCATATGAACTACTGTTTTTGACGTAGGAATACGTCTTTAATTTCTATATTGAGGGCAATACAGTCAAATAAAAATTCAGACATGTAACGAAAAATCCCAAACACGGATGTAACGATAGAGCGCCAATCGAACACACGACACATTGCGTATGCTCACATGAGCGAGCTCAATGTTCGGTTGACCGCTCACCATTTCACCAATCAAAGGAAGGGAGGAGAAAAGCAGCGGTAATAAAAACACTTGCCAAATCGTTTTCTTTGTCATTTACTTTCGAGCAATGGACGGATAAGCTTCGGACACGACATATGAGTGGAACAGCACGTATTGCACCAATAAGAATCATGACTGATCGGCATCGACTTGAATTAGTGTGAAAGAGCCAAGTAGCGCTAGTTGTTCTTTTACAACAATCCAATTCAATACTGGCCGGAGCACGCCTTGGTCTGGTGTGAATGCTGCCATATACTTGCAAACAGGAACGCTCCAGCCCGTAGTAAAATGTTGCATCACTTCTGATCGGCCACAGATGTGTCATGAGATCCACCGCTGTGGGCCATCATCGTTAAGTGCGCTGCACGTTACAGCGTCACCATCATCGGCGTCGTGAAGCAATGTCATCTATGTACCAGGTCCGGGCGAGTGGATTTGCTTTTTTAGGGCCAACAAACAACAAACAAATGGCCCTTTTCAGGGCCACCAATTCGAATACAGAAGGAGTTAAGATAATAGATTTTCGAATAATTAAAAGAACTAAGATCAAACACGTTTGCTCTGACCACTCACGGACTTTGCGCTACATATTCCAGATTTTAGATGTAAAATATTCATCACCTATTTCTCTTACCATCGGCTATACTTACTGATGTAGGTAAGTAGTAATATCATCATTCAGAATTTAAGGTCACAAACAAACTTTTAAAATTACAGGAATGAATAATCACGGCAGCCGTCCCAAAAAATCATAAGGACAACAAAAATAAATAACAACCCTTCTCAGGGCCACCATTTGAAAAACAACCGGCCCTTTTCAGGGCCAACAATTCAAAAACGGAAAGATTTAAGATAATAGAATATCTTAAGATAATAGATTATCGATCAATTAAAAGAACTAAATGCTCGTTCCGTCCACTAGTCCTTCGACAAACTTTCGTTCGTGCCCCTAGACACAGACCCTTCTACTTTTTTTTTGTCATAATACCGAATCGATAAAGTGACTCAGTGAGTAGGGTAGTTATACACATACATTATGTTACTCAAACATGCCCTTAAAACCAAGGGTTTTCTATTGATCAAAATTAAAAAAAATAAATAAATACAGTTTTGTGAATGTCATGACATTTTTCATAGCGGCCGTTCATTTTAGTTTGTTTTCGATATGATCATAATGAAAAGGGTCAAATGTTAAAAACCAGTATCTCGAAAGCTTTTTCCTCACCATAATGCATAATCAACTGCCCAGCAATGCAGCAATGCAATACAATGCAGCATCGATTCTTCAGACTTGAAATTTATGAATCTGGTAAATTTCTTTCTTCTCCACAATCCGGTAAGTTGCTTCCATCTGACATGATCCACATCCAGTTCATTAAAGAAATTATATATTTCACTCAAAGTGGGGCTCTGCTAAAGCTGAGCTTGATGGTATTCTTTATTTCAAAGACGCCACTCATCATCACATTTCAAGAACAACATGTGAAAAGGCCATACAAGCTTTTTGTAAACAAACCTTATTATGCCCTTTTCTCGCCACCCACATGACACCCACGAAAACCATCAACATCGCCGGATAGAGGCAACTTTCCCCTTCGCGATGAAGTTGTTGTTTTGCATGAGCGACCCTCGGTTGGCGAGAAAAGGGCATATAAAGGTTTGTTTACAAAAAGCTTGTATGCCCTATTCACATGTGGCTCTTGATTTTTGCATCCAATGGTAACCACAAAGCGATCGAGCTGCAGGCCAAGAACAAAAGCGCACTGAACAATTACTTGACCGATGTAACAACCTGTCAATAGTGCGATCGACACTGACCGCTGCGTCAACTGCTGAAAGCAGTCCCTTTGCAAATTCTAAGTAACTATTAATTGAACTGCTGCAAAATAAAACAGCAAAAATCGTTATCTTCCATTTAATTCCACTTATTTAATTTTGGTATCCATGTTCGTATTTCGACTACAATGTGCAGTCTTCATCAGTGCCATTCCCACTAAAGACTTATTAAAAACTAACCCCCTTAAGTACTCATTCCCTAGGGAAAAGTGTCAAGATCACGAGCAACTTGCAGAATCGGAACCTACCTAACTAATGACTAAAGATTTAATTAAAGTAAAGGAGAAAAATCTTTACAACTCTCTTATAAGGAAATATCCAGTGCACTCCTTTGATATTTTTTTTCTCTGAAAAACCTTATATTGAAATATGGTGATCATTTAAATATTTGCTTGAAACATGATATTAAAATCTGCCAAAATTATGTTTGAACACCTGTTTATGCCTCAATTAAACTCCATATTCCTACTTCATAAAACCAAAACTTGTTAAACACCATGTTTATAATAGTGGGTACCATAACTCGAATAAAAGTAATTTAATCTTACCATTCGAGCAGTTCAAAATGACGTTTCCTACTCCTTCAATAGTAATATTTTGAGATTTCCCTTCTCGAACTTTAGGGTAGTAATTCATTGCCTTATATTCTATAAATATCTGTTCCAAGGTCACTTAAAAGCATGACGATTAAGTTAATGATTGATGCTTGAAAAATATAATTCTAAACAGCTATTTTTTTATCATGAGCAAAATCCTTGCCTCCAATAAAACCACGGAAAAACCACTACAAACACAAGATCCATCCTGTAGTTAGTTTTCCGGGAAACTGGCTGTGCAAATCTCGGCAAGATTATGGAGACCTGACAAACCATTCACCTGAAAACGTATAGCTCGGTGTTGTCGAACAATTTAAGCAGAACATAATGTATCATTGAGCAATGCTTTGCCTCAGAATATTTCTTTTTAATTAAATATTTGCTTCTATATTCTTGGTAACCTTCACGAAATAAGCTATATTCACACATAATCTGAAATAGATCCGGCTTAGATTCGCTCGGAAAACATGCATCATATGCTGTTGGCTATTTTCCCTACGTTCAAAGTTTAATAGCTCCAGGGTTAAGACATTATCGGTTGTTTCTATCCATTATCATGAAGGGTCCGGAAAAAAATCAACTTTAGCCTCTAGCAAACACATTCACTGCGGAATCGCTAATTGCTTTAAAACGATCTTGATCATCCAGAAGAGATATATGTAGGCTACGGTCGGTGGCCGGTACGTTATTGCGAATAGAACACGAAAAATAAAAACGGCCGTGAAGGCACGGAGAGGAAGTAAAAGTCGAGAAGCCACTACCACATAGACCAACCGCCACCGTCATCCGGAAGTGTACTTATGAGAATCATCCAAACCGCCGGTACCGTCAGTGTCTATACCTTCTCGGTGGATGCAGAGCGTGATGAATAATGTAATCCACAGAGAGCAAAGAAAGCGGAGCTTTTACGCTCTTTTCCACAAGTGATCATCGATTGGATGAACTTTTGAGACATTCATGAACTGAATGAACGGATGAAGTTGGGGAAGTGATGCGTTCATTCCGAATGGATTGATGAGAGCGGTAAATGACCGTTGGATAATCCCCAAGACTCCAAGTGTACTTGGGTGGACAGGTTTTGCGAAGAGCATAACATAAACAGAGACTATTTTCGATCCCCGGAATGCATCAGAGACAGAGAAAGAGAGAACGAAAGCGTTCATTTCAGCTGACTGGTGCCGAGCGTGACGGTTTGTGTCTCGTAACGAACCAGTCAGTCGTTTCCGAACCGCGAATGTGAGAAGACGCTTGTTTCAGTTGCCGTTGTCAGTGTCCGTGTCTGGTCTTAAATACGTGCCACAAAAACAGTGGAGAATGAACGGTTTCCTCTCGTCATAGGAGTGAAAGGAAGGCAACAAAAAATCGACCGTCTGTTATTGTGTTGTGCATGGTTGTTGATGCCGCGCTCGCTAGATACAAGGCGAAGAATAAAAGCATTATAAAATTAGTCAGAAGAAAAGAGGAAGAGCGGAGAAATAAAGCTGGGCCGTCAGGGCGGTCCACAAGGGGAAGAAAATAGATGTATAAAACAATCTTGTGTGTTAATGTGTTTTCCATCGGCTAAGCTCCATGCTACGAAGCAGAGTGTATTTTTGTTGATGGTGGTGTGTGCTTATTTATAAACGGATATCACCGCCGAGGGGAGCCTCTGAGTGGAGCCCCCAGAAGAAAAGATTCGGTCGTCGGGTCGAAACGAAAAATAAGCGAAACGGCGAAGAATTCGAACAACAACCATCAGTTTAGTGTGTTTAAAGGTTTCTCCGGTGGACTCTTACACGAACACCCTCGTTTGTTTCACGGATAGAGTGAATTAGCTTCGTGTGAAAGAGCGACGTGTGCTTCTCGGAAGGAATTGTGAAGCAAAAGGCGAAGCAAAAAAAGTGACCGACGCACGACCTCCGGATCCGTGTGTGTGCGCGAGCGAAGTACTGCGTGTATCGTATGAGATGAGTGAATAAAACAGATAATTTTGTGTATTTTATGCTCCGATCGAAACTAGAACAGCACGTCTCTTACTAAATAACCGTGGCAAGAGTGGCGTGGATTCCGGTGCGAAAGAGTGTGAACCGTTCGACAGAAGAGTGAAAATGCCAGTTGGTGACTTCGGTGATGAAGTGAATGAAAATTTCTGTTTGAAGTAGATTAATTTGCGATTCAGATTGCGTCTGGCGGGGGAGACCGCGCAGCAAAAATTCATCAATCTGGCTTCGGCACAGGGAAGCGGTGCGATCTTCTTTCTACTCTGTTGTGGATTCGTGCTTCTGCGGTGCTGTACACTGGTGACCGCAGGACGCAACAACTTTCTCCGGCACGATGATGCCCTGCCGAAGGGATGCACCTGGACCGGTGCCGTACTGGAAGTTTCGCAGGAGAAAAGATCCGACGAGCTGCAGTGCAAAATCAAAACCATAACCAAGACCGAGAGTCTGCTAGCTAATATAAGTAGTTATCAAATTGATAGGATTAAATCGCTCAAGCTAGAGTGTAACGACATAATGTTCTTTGAAAGTTCCTTAGAATCGACTACGACGCCTGGAAACTTTCTAGGCAATCTTAACAGCTTGATGCGGCTGTCGATTGAGTACTGTAAAATAAAGTACATCCCAGCGATGGCGTTCTCGAACATGAAAGTTCTGAAAAGTCTATCCCTAAGCACCCACAATATTGACTGGTCTGTGATGAACCTCGAACTGCATCCGGATAGCTTCCGGGGACTGACCGAGCTTAAAGAGATGCACCTGGCGGATAATAACATCTGGACTCTACCGAATGAAGTATTTTGTCCGCTTTACACTTTGAGAGTGCTCAATCTAACCGGAAACAGACTGAGTGACTTATCTCAGCTGTCACTGTCCGACTGGGGCAAGGGGCCGATAGCTCCCGGAAAAGCGTGCAACACGGGTTTGGAAGTGTTGGACCTGTCTGGAAACGACATCACTCTTATGCCAGATAATGGCCTATCAGCGTTAAGATCATTGAATGCGCTTTATCTGCAAGATAACCTACTCAAAGAAATTGCTGACAGAGCATTTGTCGGTTTGGGTACACTTGAAGTTCTCAACCTTTCCAACAACAAACTCACCGCCCTCACTCCGGAACTTTTCCTATCATCGCGCAAAATCCGCCAAGTCAACTTGCAAAACAATTCTCTATCGGTGATGGCACCCGGTGTTTTTGAAGGGTTGGACCGGCTTGAAATGTTGGACCTTTCGCGGAATCAACTGATTTCAACTTGGGTCAAACGTGACACATTTGCTGGCCAAGTGCGCCTGGTGGTACTAAATCTCGGATACAATCACCTCTCGAAAGTGGACCAGCATGTGTTCAAGGGACTGTACAGTTTGCAAATTCTTAACCTGGAGCACAATGCCATCGAACTGATTGCCGATGGTGCGTTTAGTGATTTGAAAAATTTGCATGCGCTCTTCATCTCGCATAATCGGTTGCGACAAATTGAACCGTACCATTTCAGTGAGCTGTACGTTTTGAATCAGCTGATATTGGAATCGAACCAGATTGCGTACATTCACGAGCGTGCCTTCGAGAATTTAACCCATCTGCATGATCTGAGTCTGAACGACAACCGGCTCGAAGAGATACCGTCCGGGATGAAAAGTTTGAAGTTTTTGCAGTCGTTGGATTTGGGCAAGAACCAAATAACCGAGATTAATAATTCCTCCTTTGAGGGACTGGAGGAGCTCATCGGACTGCGGCTGGTGGACAATCAGATAACGGAAATTTCTAGAGATACGTTCTTTGCGTTGTCAACCATCCACGTACTGAATTTGGCCAGCAATCGGATACGGCACGTGGACCAGTCGGCTTTTAGTTCAAATCCGACACTGCGTGCCATAAGGTTGGATAATAACGAGCTAGAGGATGTGGCTGGAGTGTTTACCTCACTCACGTCACTGGTCTATTTGAATATTTCCGACAACAACATTGGCTGGTTTGATTATTCGCACTACCCGCAGTCGCTCGAGTGGTTGGACATCCACAAGAACAATATCTCCGAGCTAGGCAATCGGTACGACGTGGGAAATTGGTTCCAGTTGAAAATGTTGGACGTTTCGCACAATCGCATCAAGCACATCAACTCGAGCTCGTTTCCGAAAAATATCGAAACCTTGCTGCTGAACAACAATCAGATCGAAGAGATTGCCCCGGAGACGTTTACTAACAAGGAGAGCATTGTGAAGGTGGTGCTATATGGAAATCACTTGCGCCGCTTGGAAATGTCATCGTTGGCGCTAACGTTGGTTCCGGATACACGGACAATGCCGGAGTTTTATATCGGTGATAATTTAATCCATTGCGATTGCAGCATGGAGTGGTTACAACGAATCAATGAACTGAGTTATCTTCGCCAGTACCCGCAGGTGAAGGATCTGGACTCGGTGATGTGCACGATGGAACACGAGCGAGGTGAGTTGGTAAGACCACTGATGGAAATGAAGGCCAGCGAGTTTCTATGCAAATACGAGAGCCATTGTTTTGCGACGTGCCATTGCTGTGATTTCGACGCGTGTGACTGCAAGATGACATGTCCGGATCGGTGCAGTTGCTACCACGACACAGCCTGGGAGTCGAACATTGTGGACTGTGGTAGTGTCGGACTAACGGCAATTCCGGTGAAAATCCCCATGGATGCCACCGACATCTATTTGGATGGGAATAATTTCGGGCAGCTGGAAAGTCACGTTTTCATCGGGAAGAAAAAACTCAAGTCGCTGTATCTGAATAACAGTCACATCGATGGGCTGAATAATAAAACGTTCGGTGGAATTCCGGCGCTCAGTGTATTGCACCTGGAGGACAATGGGCTGGAAAGTATTAGCGGAGCCGAGTTTGAGCAGTTGCGTGATCTGAAGGAATTGTTCCTAGATCACAATGCCATCAGTGCCATCGGAAACAAATCGTTCTATTATCAGAAATCATTGGAAGTGCTTACGATAAGTGACAATAAAATCAGTGAATTAAAGCCCTGGGAACTGATGCCACTGGGCGGTAAGTTCCGGCTAATCTCGTTAAGTGGTAATAAACTGGCCTGTGCTTGTGAATCGATGAGTAAGCTAGTGGACTGGGTCGAACGGCAGTTTAACGAAACGGACGGACTAAGTGAATTTCAATGTTCGAATAATAAATTACTGAAGGACGCGATTAAGGAGTGTGAGAGTCACAAGAGTGCCCCGATTGCGACACCAACCGTGCAGCGAACGATTATCGATAATGATTTTATAGACTACTTACCGCTGTTGATTGCCGTACTAGCCGGACTAGTGCTGACGATTCTTCTGGTGACGCTGGTGTTCATCTTCCGGAACGATGTTTGCCTGTGGGCTCACTCTCGGTATGGGGTAAGGATCTGCAAGGATCCACTCAATACGATGGAACGGTGCGAGGATAACGAAAAACTTTACGATGGTTATCTTGTTTATAGTGCGGCCGATGCCGATATGGTTACTAGTCAAATTGCACAAGAATTAGAGCATAATGGTTACGCACTTTGCCTGCACTACCGGGACATTCACTCGGCTGCCTTTCTGGCCGATTCCCTGCAAGGAGCTGCCGATGCATCCCGTAAGCTGATTCTGTTTATAAGTGTCAAATTTATGCAGCTCGAGTGGTCACAACCGGAGTTCCGAGCCGGGTTGCAAGCAGTGCTGGAACTTATCCGACCATCCCGGCGGAAACAGAAGCTTATCCTAATCACTTCGGTGCCACAATCGATGCTCACGATGGACCCCATAATGGACATACTCACGCGAACCTGCACCGTTATCTCGTGGGACGATCGGCGCTTCTGGGACAAACTCCGTTTTGCCATGCCGGACATTGGCAAAAATTCTCCTGTAAATAAGGCCCCCCATCGCAAAGCCATCAACATCCGGTATACTCCGGCCCCAACAAATCCTACCGCACCGACGGCCACCTGGCCCAAGCGCCTCAACTCCGAAGTATGCGTACAATATCCCCCACAGTCGGCTCATTCTCCCAACCACAGTACTTACAATACCGAGGATGAACTTTCGACTGCTTCCTCGCCGCAGTACGAAGCCCCGACGCTTCATCACGCAGTCGGAGGAGGTCACGCGATGATTCCCTTCCACCTTCACCATTCACATGCCCCATCGGCGCCATCACACCACATTCCACTGCAGCAACAACAGCAGCAACAGCAGCACCAGACCAGTCATTCGCCGCACCTGCAAAACTACCCCCACCATCCTCAACACCACCACCAGCAGCAACATCAACAACAACACCATCAACTGAACCTTCAGCAGGGAAACGCCTCCACTGCCATGGGAGCTCCCGTGGGCTACTACCGCACCAGTAAGTCCAACAATACCAACACCCTAGGCCACGTGTACTCCACCATACCGGAGTCGCAATACAACACCCATCACTCCAATCGCAGCGATAGCAATCGACCGTACTTTGTGTAATATTTACTCTACTTTTAGCTCTTTTTTCAAATCTACCACCCCTCCTCCACCCTCTTAATTCTCCCATCTCATGTGTACTTCATTCCCCATTCATTCGTACTCGCTTTAATAGTCCTACTATTATTAAAAAAAAATGCTAAATATTGTGTATACAAATTGTTTACAACACTACTACTCTGTGAACTACTCGTAGGCTAGGTCAAAATGAAAAAAATAAAAGACTTATTTGATTAGAAATCTCCCTCTCCGACCCATGCAGCCCAATCAAAACCCTATCGCTTTCTGTGCAAGCGAGCATGATGCGGATGCCAATATGATTTTCTCGTACCCATTTTGATTTCTACTTCTTCTTTCAATAACATAAATTCATCTTGGAAAGCGCGAGAGCCCACGACGCATCATAATCAGTCTGTTTGTTGATTTGTTTTAATTGAAAGTGACCGCGCGCAGCTTCAGCCGAGGAAAACATGACCGGGGAACAAAGGCAAACATTATCTTTCTGGGCGGGAAATCAAAATTGATACGCGAGTAAATATGCATAGTGGTACTGATTAAAGAGTGGAATGCTGTTGAAATTTGAAATCGAGTGGAGGATGCTCAATTGATTCTGGGCGGCATTTTTTCGTGACTCGCTCTGTCTCGCTGTCGTATATCGCTATCTGGGACAGCGCGGGACATTCATCGTGGTTGAACAACGGTTTCACTGACAGGTTACAATTCTTCAGTGCTGTTGACCGTTGACGGGCCGGATTGGGAAACGATGACGGAATATGCGTGTGCGGAGGACAGAGTAACGACGATGGACACTGCATGATAAGACCTTGGACCATATGTAGTCCGAAATGAGCTGATACATTTAGATAGCGGGCAGAAAATTGTTTCTGGCGATGCCGAGCTAAGTCACACATCGATGTAGGTATGTAATTTGATCGTGTTGCGATAGCCGGCAGTGTGACAGTTGATGAATTGACTATTGTTGGGAGTGGAATTTTTGCGTGTATGGGACGTGACGTGATTAGTTTGCACTTTCGATTGGATCCGGAGTGATGATGGAGTGTATCCGCGATCGGAAGTGTTGAATTTTCGGAGAACGGGAAGAAGTAACTTCGGTGAATTTAACTCTTGACGTGTTGTTATGAGAATCTCGAATAGTTTTTCAGTAAGCATAAAAAGCTGAGGTACTTAGATGATTTCAGAACAGTTTTGTTACATACAATACTTCTGATCGATTCTCAACGTTGCGCCACCATGAGATCAAGCTCGATTTACATCGCTTCTTCTTTGGTGCCTTTCGTCTAGTGGGGGTACGCGTACTCCGGAAGCTTATTTTAATCTGCGAGTAGTTTTGAAATGTTGTATAGAAGGGTCTTGGAAGCTTTATTTTTTGCGTAATTTTCAGCTAAAAAAATTGCTTATTCAGCTGTTGATAAACTCAAATTGTTTGTTGGGTAGCTTTTAAACCCGTTTAAGCCCAAAAACTGAAACTCAAATGAAAGAGGAGCACCTTAAATTTGTCATTTGGTGGTTGTTTCAGCGATATTTTTTTTTTTTAATGTGCTCAGATCAATTATGGCCTTTTTTTTAAATACGTAGAATTTGAATATTATTTTAACGAAATATGTTTATGCTAGAGTTGTATATATTTCTGCTCTTATGAAATGTTAACCTTTTGATTGGCACTAGATTGCGAACAGAGACCGACGTTGAATAGAGGAAAAGAAGATGTTAACCTTTAGAGGAGCAACTAGGGCTTCGCCACAACGAGGAAGATGATATTGCTTTGAGTGAAAGTGTTCCCAGATTACGCATAATTTGTTTAAACAATTATGTTTAAAACTTGTCGTATCTTCCCGATTTTTTTGAATCCTGGTTCAATTCACAAAAAATTTAAGTTTGATGATTATCATGGAACATTTAAAAAATGAGCGTTCATTAGACATTAGAATGTTGTTAGCAGTCTTTAAATTGAAAGTCACCAAGCATTCGATGAATGTGTGTGATTGGAACAAGTTTTCAACCTCCTGCTACGCACTATTCTTTCGGTTTTTATTTTGTTACCTAACACACCAGACAAACTTTTTTGTTTGTTTGTTTATTAATTTATTTGATAAAGCTCAATTGAATTTACTTTACACAGCCGAAGGTTCTTGTTCACTATATTCTTCTTCTTCATCGCATTTCAAGCTTATTCCATATCGCATATTAGCTTATTACGTGCTCTCCACTTAGTGTTCTAGATGCACTTCCACAGTTATTAATTGGGAGCTTTCGATGCCTGTACCATTTTTGCATTGATATGATTGTGTGGCAAGTCCAATCATACTTCTCTGCCCAGGGAAGTCGAGAAAATTTACAACCCGAAAAGTTCCTAGACCGAACCGGGAATCGAACCCAGCCACCTCCAGCATGGTCTTGCTTTGTAGCTGCACCTTTACCGACTGAGCTAAGGGAGGCCCCTTTGTTCACTATACAAAACACCGTAAAACTATAGTCAAAAGGTATAACACACTTTATCTTCCGCTATCCCAAAAGCCTTCTCCATCAAGACGGGAGCCACTTCCAGTGGTTTAATTGAATGGCAGTATCGCCAACGGGGGGCATAGTGCTTCCATTGCAGCAATAGACGCAAAGTGTGGTCAGAACTCACACACTCATCACTAAACGGTTGCTTTCCAAAGTCGACGACGCATCGACCAAAAGAACAATGAGGAGGACCAAACAATGGTTGCTGCCGATTGTACAGACGATCGAGAGTAGTCTGCTTCTGTTGGCAGCCGAGTAAACACTCAACCAGACAAACTTGACCCACCTCACTGTGTATGTTCTTACTTTATTTTTGTTGTGACTACACTTTTCTTTTTAGATTGCCCGGTGAAGTGGTTGACATCCATTAGTGATTTTAATTGAGAAAAAAACGCAATTTTTTGGCTCAATATAATTAACTTTACACAGCCAAGGATTCTTGTTTACTATACAATACATTTTAAAACTATAGTCAAAAGGTACAACACAATAAACATTTTATCTTCCGGTATCCAATAACTCAACTAACATTTTCAGCTTTATAAGCCAACTTTTCCAGTGTTGTGCTGTAAAGTAGCTGAAAAGAAGCGCAGATACAGCAATAAGCATAAACTATCAAAATAGTTTTGGAGAGTGTTTACTCAACTTTTTCACAACCATTATTCAATTTGTCAGTCGCACTGAATAACAACAGCCAAAAAACGGTAATGTCTCTTTCATACATATACTAATCAACTTTCAACTTTTTACTGCAAAACAAAGCTAATAAAGTGAATATATTACTCATTTGATGGCTTCTATACAACCAACCACTCTTGCTGAATAACATAAACATCAAAAGTGCTTTTTCAACAACTAAACATCCTGTACTCAGTTAATAAACTGTGTTAGAGCTACTTCGCAAGCATTTTCACAGCCAACTAGGTTTATTTTTAGACGTATGCAGTTTTACAGCTTTTACTCTGCTCCTTTACAAAACTGAAGTAACTAGTCGAGAAAAGTGATTCATGTGCACTTATAAAAAGTCTCTACTCAGCGGTGTTGTTATAGAAGGGCATGTATAAATGAAATGATTAAAGCGTTTACATTGTGAAAATTGTTAGTTGGGAAGCCTCCTCCATCAGAACGGGAGCCGCTTCCAGTGGTTTCATTGTATGGCAATATTGCCAACGGGTGGTAGAGTGCATCCATTGCAGCAATGGACGCAAAACGTGGTCATCACTCACACACACGAAACGGTTGTTTTCCACAGTCGACGACGCATCGACCGAAAGTTCTGCTGATGAAGAACAATGAGGAGGACCTCACAATGGAGGCCGAGTAAACAGACGTTCACGTGACACACATCTAGAGTGGCCTGCTGCTGTCGACAGCCGAGTGAACACTGGATTCCATAGGAACCACTTATGATTTTTCACCACATGGATTTATTATGTATATCCTAAGAATGAACTATAAAACATAACTCATGTGTCGAAATAATTAAATTCAAAATTCAGTTTATCAAACTTAAAAAGTATTATAAAATGGAGCAGACTGCATTCGAACCCTGAGCGTCAGATTATTGAGTCCGTGATTTGCGCTTACGTCTATCAATGCTTGGAAAATCGGATAGACTAAAGGCATAAGTCGTGTTAATGGGATTCCCATATGCCATAGTACGAACCAGTGATGGCCTCATCCTTTGCAAAATGATACGGAGCAAAATGTCATCCTTGATATTGATTTTACAAGGTCCTTTGTAACTGCGAGGCAACTCATCACATGTGAAATTGCAGCTGTGAGTTGACTCGACGCGAAATTGATTCCGTTGCACGTCGTTCTGTTTTAGAAAGAGATAGACAAGTTTGCAACTCTCTTTACTCTTCACCCAATACTGGTGCCAGTGGTGATGGAAGTTTTGGGTCGCTTTCGGGTGTAAAGCAAATATCTGGAAACTCAAACTCACCACAGTTTGGTGATAATTGTAGCTACACACTTAAAAAAATTCATGTAAATTTAGGTGCTCTGAGACTGACATATACGAGCGTAATTTTTGACATAAAATTGAGTCGTAATAGACGCAAAGCTCAGCTCAATCAAACGTGCTTTTCGTCGAGTACCGAACTTTTCATACTCGGAGCACTTAATTTTACATGACATGTTTGTTTACGTCTCATCCTTTAAGTCAAATATGGATTCCGTCACGTGTAAAATTAGGTATTTCTAAGTGTGTAGTTTGTTAGCATGATTTTTAGAGCAACGATATCACAGCTTGTAATATCATCCGCTTTGGTTTGCTTGTTGATATTTGTCCATGATCAAGCGTGATCATTGGATATATTTAGATTTGATTTTTGATATTTTTGCACTGTTGGATCACACCATAATAGGATCGTATAGGCATATCTGGTACTTATCCTTCTATTTATTTGCTTTTTTTTTTTTTCTTTTTCAGCCATGCCAATTTTCGATATATGGCCTAATGACTGTTTGAACTAGTGAACATTAGCCTTAATGGCCATTCAGCATATCCTCCGGCCTAATGACCCAGCATCCATAATTTTTTTTTTAAATTTGAATATTTATGGAAAAACAGCAATGTTTTGGGAATTTTTCAATAGTGATGCAACGAATATTTGACATTCAATGAAATAGGGCTCTAATGTTGACCAATGAATCTTAAATTGGGACCATCACTAAAAATCTGCTATTTATCAATTTTATCTAGATGAAAGCGTCATTGGGACCGTACTAATGGATTTTTTTGGTCGTTATTGAAAATTTAGTCGATTGCTGAATTTATGCATGGGCCCAAATTGGGGCATTTAGGTCGACATTACATGCATTATCATATCACACATATCAAACTGCAAAGTCTTTAGGTGAGAAGGTGTAAACCCCTCAATACCTGGCTTAATACCACTATTAGGTGCATCTCTAATCCTATTTCCTCTACAAATTTGCGAAGACACTATTTATGCAGGGTAGAGATTTTTTCAGAATTCATCATAAATGCCTATTATCGTCATATTGCGCAAAAAACGTCAAATTTATCAATGAGTCAACATCTTTGCTTCTTTAATTGAAAAACTACATAACATCAAATATATTAAATTAACAATATGATCCATTCATGCCTTTTCCTTTGGTGACCCGAAAAATATTGCTTCACACACCATCTAGCGTTGAAAAGGGTCAGCATCAATCGTCCAATTACATCGAGGGGTGCGATTATAGTACTTGTTACAAAAAATAAAAGTCAAAATATTTTCATTACTTAAATCCTGTATTTTACAGGCACATTTGTCTAACGTGTCGCTGTTGTCATCAATTAAAATAATATGCATTAATACGAACATGCATTTTAAATATTATACAAATTTTCAATTTTTTTACCTTTCATTGAAGATTAGCAAATACATTGGTAGCCTTTTTGGCCACAGAGGCACTTTCATCGTTAAAAAATCGGTTCACCAGCTAAACTTAAGAGTGTATCATATTGTTAATATCATATATTTGATAACATGTTCTATTTGAATCTGAATGTATAGTATGCATTTTAAAACCCATCGTTTTTTTTTCCCAAAAACAAAAGAAGCTCTTATCAAATCCATTTTGTCTGCCTTCATCCGTATGTCGAAGTGAATCCAATCACGTTTCAATGTGTTTGGACAAAATTGCAACTCGTAAGATGAATTTGGGATCAATTTGGGTTGAATTTTAGTTTCAGCTGGCAAAGTTTGACTCAATACAATTGATCATGAGAAAATTGAAAAAGTTGTTCGTTGCATAAACTGCTCATGAAAAGCTAAATTGATCAAGATCAAAATAAATTATACCATTTCTTCATATTGACGTACATAAAGGCCTTAAACTTTCAAAGGAAAGTAAGCAGAATTAATTCTAGCACCAAAAACACACCTCGATGATTTATTTCATATTGAAGTGATATGGTGGTAAGAAGTACCAAATCCCATGCTGGAAAAACGATGATTTTCCTCAAATTAAGAGCATATAAGCTGTTTGCTCTGACTTGAGTA